TGTACGTTTTGACCTTGACAAAAGACTTAAGTTTTTGTTTTGACTGTCGTTCATCAAAATTTTGCTAAATAATTATGAAAACGTATACAGTTAAAAAATATAATTTTAAATTATTAACTTAACCTTTACTTAACAATTTAAATTATTGTATTGAATTTGTTGTATTATATGATAGGAGAATTTTTATTTTATTAATAAATAATTAAATATTATGAAAAAAATTAATATTGACAGTAACATGTTTTTGCAACTGTTATGGATCTACATAAGGTCCATATATCTAAATCTATCATATGCTGATATAAAATGCTTATAGTTATAGGTGTCAAAAAGGTTCGGTACAGAGGGCCAACTCACACCGCCCACCAAACGAGCAGGTTAGCTCGCCAACACGTGTTCATATTCTTCATCAAATTATTATTGGTAGAGTTGAAGTAGTATTGAGATTAAATACGATGCATTAAATATATGGTTATATATATATGTTAATTTTGTGAATAATTATTTATACTTATGCAATTAAGCTAATGAATGGTCTTTTGATATTACCACATTCAACTTCAACTATGAAATGTTTGTTAGAATATTAAACGTACTAACTCAAATATTTTTCAACTATTTATCTAATATATATGTCACAACTACAGAAAACATAGATACATAGTAATCTAGACGCAAGTATAAGAACTTTTTTTAATGGATAAATATGAAGACCTATTATATGCTGATATAAAATACTAATAGTTAGAGGTGACAAAATGGGTTCGGCCTGGCCGACCCACCCCGCCTCTCGAACAAGTTTTTTTTTTATATCTATTATCTAACAAACTCATCTTTGTGAGGATAAGATAATTGGATTTACTGCTGTAAATATTTCAGAAACAAGCATCTAAATAAAATGAACAATCAGATTGTGATAAATGAAAGTCCATCTAAACAAAATGAACAATTAGCACAACATTTAATTTTTTTCTTCATGTATATTAATTGATTTTATTTTGTAGTAAATTTTGTGTACGGTTTAATCAATGAGACAAGATCATATTGAATAATAATGCAGAGGAGAAGGTTCTTTGCTGAGCTATATTTGAAGACTGAATTATTGAGTATATAACTATGTTTGATTTGCATAATAATCGATGTCTCTAAATTGCAAAGTTTTGTTTGTGGTTGATTTTTACAAAGTTCTGTGTGAATGTTGTAGCTTTTTCAATTTCAAAAATAGCATAAAATAGCAAGACAGTTCTTTTTTTATTTTAGATATTTTTGAAGTAAAATATTTGCTTTTTTCATTTTTGCTCCTTTATGTTTATTCCTCTACCTTTGTATCGTTCAGGGCTTCATAGCAAGACGTAGCTCTTGATTTCTTTTAGAGATTAACCAATTGCCACTGATAAAAATTTCAATTTTTTCCCGAGCATTGCACGGGTAATACACTAGTTTTATTAAAAGAAGTACTGCTTTTGACACGTGGCAAATGCATGGAGTCCCAATATCTATATCAACGCGATAGTCCTATTGTTAGATAAATATAAACCATTAATGTAGCCTCTCTCAATAGCTTACACGAAGGTTGAAATAGCTCTTTATATGGTTTAGAGCCGATGTAACTAAGTAGTTATGAATTCGATCATCATCACTCCCATTTTATAGATAAAATAATTAAATATTGTAGAATTTCTTAGTATATGTAGATTAAGTCTGATGCATCATTCATCATTCAAGTCTAATAAGCTATGTAAAGGGCGTATTAGAGAAATACAAAATCATGTTATAAAAAAAATACAAAATTATTATTGTAACATCACCCGAGATACATTTGTCATGTTACAAAATAAATAAATAGTTGTTATGTTAAGAAAAAAGACAAGCTATATAATATTAAAAAAATTAAAAGGGCACATTATTCAATAAATTAATATTATTTTTTTCTTAACATAACAACTATTCATTTATTATGTAACATGACAAATACATTTCTCTAAATTTTTAGGTTGAAATAATTTATGTGTCACCACGCGTCAAAAGTGTGTCTCAAGGCCGGCAAAACTGGATTTGTGACCAAAATGTCACGTTTTATCAATTTTTTTATCCAAATGCCACACGAACAGTATTTTTTACCAGACTGCCACGTGTCATAATTCGCTACCACTGGTAGCGAATTTCGTGGCCAATGATTTCGTCACACGTGGCCATATTGTAGATCAAATTCGCTACCAGTGGTAGCGAATTATGACACGTCATCTTTTTTTTGCGAAAGTGCGTCACGTATTATAAAATCATTGGCGAACATAATATGCTACCAGTCGTAGCAAATTATGCTTATGTGATAATATGATAAAAAGTACTATTCGCGTGGCATTAATTTGGATGATTTTTTTGCCAAAAAATGACATTTTAGTCACTGTTCCGGCAAAAGGTAAGCGTATCATATGAATAAAATTTAGAAGTGTGGCACATTGGGATATATTTTCCCAAAGCATGGTGTTTTGGTTTTTATCTGTGCTGTGTTTAATAAAATGACCCTTGTGTTGATAATTGTATAAAACCGCCTCGGTATTTTATTTTTATTTTTATTTTTTGTAATAACCGCCTCGGTATTTTCTCATTAATAAAATTCAAAGGATCCTTGCTTATAATATTCGAGCACAAACACGAGGACCTGGTGGTGGTTCACCTAGTTGCCAACAGTCAAGTTTTGCCCTACTAAACAATGATAAGCAAACAAAATGGTAATGTTCCAGCCCCCCAAGAAAACAAAGAGAACAAACAAATACAACTATATATATTCCTTTCCTTACCTAACTCCAATGCGCATTGATTTATATAAAGGATCTTAACATATATTATAGGGCTTACTGAAAAGTAAACTACAAGCTAATATCGACCACCCACTTGCTTGAAAATGAAAACCTTGACTTGGTGATATGAATATTCCTTTTTTTTCCTTCAATTTTCCCATTCTCGATTTCATGTCGTTAAGCTCCCACACCTTGCAAACATGGTCATTCTTCATTCATGAAAAGTGAAAACCAATTATTGGTTAATATGGAATACACGAAGCATCCTAGCTAGATTCAAAACCATGCAAGACGTGGGGTTATATCTAGGCTTTGCCTATTTGAGTTAAAATATATCTCTTAATTGCTTTGAGGCAAAGCAACCATACCTCTTACTTGTGAGTACCGAATTCATCCCTCTTATATTGCCTATATTGAGAGTGTAACTTACATCAATATAAAATAATCTAGCCAGTATTTTTTTAGTCATTGAAAATAAAGTTATCTCTATTGAATCTAAAATGACGTCATTTTGGGATTATAAGATTAAAAAATTATGGGTAAAGTGTGTGTCATTTTAAAAGATGTAAAGTTGTGTCATTTTAAGAGAGAGAAAGAGATAGATAAAGGAGGAGAGAGAGTTGACAAAAAAAATAAAGGTGTGGGTCTCACTTCTTTGTGAGAGTGAAAGGATATAAGTTGTGTCATTTAAAAGGATAAACACTTTTCCCAAAAATTATAATGATAAAGACTAATATAACCTTGAATAAATTTGAATTACAAAAATATATATTTATTAACCTCAAAACGACCTCGTTTTGGACTCATGGTAGATAATTTATTTCCATTGGCTGGAAAAATATTTTTCTACATATAGTTTAATGTCTCACATGTTGTTGAGATAAAATTATCTCCTTCATATACATAAAGGTATGTGGGTTCCATGTTTTCTTTTTCTGTCTCTTCTTTTCATATGGGTCTCACACAATTTTATGTGTATGTAATAGATATTTTATCTTCTATAACATGAGAAAACTATCGTAGGCATGTATATATATTGAGAAATTCCAATTCATGATTGGGTTCACCACTTCATTATCCATACATCGTATGAAGGTTGGCATTGGTCAGAATTTAGCATATTTAAGCAAGTTACATAGGTCACGCTACATGATTCTCTCCACAACATTAGCCATAATTATCTCCCTGTACGTAGTTTTGACTTGTAATTTTAAAGTTTATCATTATGATGCTTGTAGACAGAGTTAACTTCCACATGTCTTGAGTTTCCAGCAAAGCAATCTCACATTAATATGCATACTACTTTTAACGAAACAAAACCTATTCACTAAGAACTAAGGAGCAGTTTGTGACCAGTACATGGGGTTAGTTAATTTACTCTGACATTATTTACAAAAGTACTTCCCCGACTGTGTTTGTCTCTATCTTTGTCATCATCGAATATTTTATTTGTTTATAATCATAATTATTGAGATCATGCAATTGTTCTTCACCAACTCTATAATTCATTTGTCACGTTCCCATTTCTTATCCTAACAAGTAGTCCACATGCTGCAACAGGAAGCTATCGTTAATTTAATTAGAACAATGAACGGTTCAAGTGTGTGACAGGTTAAAGTCACAAAGGTTCATCGAAGCAGCTAAGTCAACTGTTCATTCTTAAATTGCTCCTTAACACCTGCTTCTGAACAACAATTCAATTTGCTGTTAGGAGATACCCATCAATTCCTTGTACGTATATGTCAGCCACCGCAAGAAACTATTTAAAATGTTATTATTATACAATCTGACAATAAAAGCTATGCGTTCCAAAGAGGAAGATGTGAGATGTTAAGTTTAAAGAAATGGTCACTTGACGTGTAATGAATCATTCAGAAACTATATATTATTTGGAAATTCGAAAGAACTAACAGTTATCCTATAAGGACATGCTTAACTAACGATTTTTTTATTAGACTCCGTACATTATTAAATGAAAAAGGATATAATAAAGTAACATGAATAATAACTTACACCACATGTTAGTTTGCTGCATGGACCATCTCTATGATTTGCCCCGTTTATTGTAACACATACTGAGGACTATAAAATCACAGGGTACTGTTCCGGAAACAGCAAAAGAAATGAAATTGCTTCTCATAATAAGCATCTAAGTGTTTATATCTTCTATATATATATATATAAACTCTGGTAATTAAGATCTCTGCCAACTACATGAAAATGGGAAGCAAGAGTTACTTGAAGGTTTTGATTCTTTGTCTTGTAGCATTAATTGGATCAAGTCATGCTCAATTGCAACTTGGTTTCTATACTAAAAGTTGTCCAAAGGCAGAACAAATCATTTTGAAGTATGTTCTTGAGCATATCCCGGATGTCCCATCAATGGCATCTGCCCTCATAAGAATGCATTTCCATGATTGTTTTGTCAGGGTATGCACTATACAGCAGTTCAAGTTTGTACTTTCATATTCATATTCATATTAACAAGTATTTTTATTTTTATTTTGGTACTCATGTTAACAAGTATTTTGTTAAGACTTAGGAGCTAACATATAAGCATTTCAGGGATGTGATGCATCAATTCTTCTGAACTCAACAAAAACCAATACAGCTGAAAAGAACTCTTTTCCAAATCTTACAGTCCGAGGCTTTGAATTCATCGACCAAGTAAAGAGCCTTGTTGAAGCTGAATGCCCTGGGGTAGTCTCTTGTGCTGATATCATAGCACTGACAGCCAGAGACTCTGTTCATTCCATAGTGAGTGCTCATTTTTTTCATCCTTATCTCTATACACTTTCTTTTAGAGAATAGAATAGAAATAAATGACCCATTTGCTTGTTCTAACATGATTTACATTGGGTTTGCAGGGTGGACCCTTTTGGAATGTTCCAACAGGTCGAAGAGATGGACTCATCTCTAAAGCAGCAGATGTCTTGATTAGCCTTCCTGCTCCATTTCACAACCTCACCACCCTCACAACACTCTTTGGCAATGTTGGACTTGATGTTAATGACCTGGTCTTGCTCTCTGGTACGTCAAACACATGCTAAATTTATTGTTTATTATACAAAAACTTAAGTTCTTGGGTAAAGGTAGATAGATAATTTTTATATTATATTTCTAACTATGGTGAAAACTTTATCATGGCTTATATTTATAATACGCTTCTTTTGGACTTGAAGTATAAAGGCTTTGAACCTTGTCAATGAACCAATTTTAAGAACATGGTTTTTATATTACATGTTTAACCATGGTGAAAGATCTCATAGGTTTATATTATATTTTAACATTTCTAATCATCGGAGTTCAATTTTTTCAGGTGCTCACACAATTGGTGTTGCCCATTGCTCAACAATTGCAACCCGGCTATATAATTTTACTGGTAAGGGTGATACAGATCCAACTCTAGACAGCGAATATGCAAAAAATCTCAAGACCTTTAAGTGCAAGAACATCAATGATCAAACCACACTTATTGAGATGGACCCTGGAAGTCGCAACACATTTGATCTTGGTTACTATACTCAAGTGGTTAAGAGAAGGGGCCTCTTCCAATCAGATTCTGCATTGCTAACTAGCTCTATTACAAGGTCTATTATCACCCAACAGCTTCAGTCAACTCAAACATTCTTTCTTGAATTTGCCAAATCCATGGAGAAAATGGGACGAATTAATGTCAAGACTGGGACACAAGGAGAGATCAGGAAGCATTGTGCACTTCTAAATAACTAAGAATCTTATTGATAATGACCCATTCCAGTGAAGTTTTTATGTTATTGTTCAATACAATTTATTTTTGGGTCTCGTTATTTATGTTATGGCAGTGGTATCTAAATATATGAGATACCCTATGGTCTGGTTGTTTTCCAAATGATGTGAGAACAATTGGGCAGTGAATCATAGGTTTGATGGGAAATCATGTTCTTCTGGTAATAACAAGGAGAATTGAGAGAGAATTTGTTGTGAAAAACACAGCATAATAATGTCTAGCCAAAATAATTGTCCTCCTTCTGTATGTTGAAAATATGTTATCCTATTATTAAAATAAGAGTTCTTTTATTTCCTTGTTTACTATCTCTTTTATTAGGTTTTTAGCAATTTCTTTGAACATTTTTTTTTATGATATTGAAAATGGAATTTAATTGAAATTGTGCGATGGGGCAAATTGTATAAAGAGTTTATTGTTTCTTGTCACAATAAATAAAATTAACTCCAACAATCTCATCACATCATTTTGAGAGTTGAAGAAATTAATAAAGGGTGTTATGGTAAAATGAATTATATAGCAAAAAAAATTCTTAAAATATCTTTAATTAATTCTCTCGATTCCCAAAATGATATACTTTAGGGTTATTGAAGATACTTTTATCTTATATGGCAGGAGAAACTTTTTTCTCTCAATCAGCTAATGTATCTTGTTAATTTAATTTTAATTACAGTTAGGGTTAAATAAGTTTTAGTTTTCACATTTTTATTTTAATTTTTGGATCAGTTTAATTCTCACATTCTTATTCTATGCTTATTCAAGTTTTTTTTTTTTTTTTTCATTTTGTTCAATCTATCTCCTTACTTACCGATTATATTTAATGTTTGTTCTTATGCTAATATTTCAGCCAAATTATTTCGTTAAATAATAGCGTGCCAAATTTTCAGTGATCTGTTGGTTCTAAATAAAAAATACTACAATGTAATACATCATTATTTTACTGATATGATAGAGAGACAACATTTACAATTAATAAATGGGTTTTATTAATCTCAGTTAAAGAGAATAATTATTTCATGTCATAGAGACAAAATAACGGGTTCCATCACCTGAAAAAATAAAAAAAAAGATGGTACAATTATCGAAAGGTGTATAGGAGATAAAACTTATGTCATGTGACATAAGAATAGTTTTTTCCTTAATAAATTTTATAAAATAAAATAATCAATTCAACAAAAATTTAAGTTTTAAGAAAAGAAATATTAGGGATCTCTGGGCTTTGGATTTGAAGCTTAAGGTCCAGCCCATTCTAAATTAGGGCACCTCATAAACCCTAATTCGTGCCTCACCCGTCATTCATTGTTTATATAATAGAACTTACTCCCACTTTTCTTCTAATCTCCTTTTCTTTCTTCGTTGCTCATGTGGGGCATCAATTAGGGTTTCGGGGTTCATTCGGATTTGCCTTTTTGGAGCGGAATTTTCGTCAAGTTTGTATCTTTCTGAAATGGGGTTTCTGTATCTCTGTGATCTATGCTATGAATTTTTCCTATTGTATTGTTTTGAAAATGTAGTTTTGATTTTTATAGTTGTGCTGTGACGAGACAATTATGTGGACTAGAGTTTCTGATCTGGGTATCAAGCTCAGAAGTTGATTATCAAACCCTTGGCTGTCTGAGCGCACCTAAATTCTTCATTTTTTGAGAAATTGGAGGGCTTTTTTTTTTTTTTGAAAAATTTATCTTCTCTTCTTGTGTTACCAGTTCTTTTTGTTCCAAAAGATAAAAATGCTTCCAATTTTTTCTTTAATTTCGTTGAGTTTTTTTGCTAAATTGGTTTGAGAAAATTTTTGGCTTGTGATGATATTTTAATTATCTTAGCGGATTTCAGTGAGATTTCTATCAATGATCTGATTGTTACACACACTGAAGCCATTATTTAATATTTCAATTCAAATCTTGATTTTCAAACCTTCTGCACTTAAGCTGGAGTTTCTCTCTTAATGGGTGCAATGATGAGATGAAAACATAACCTTTGGTATATGAGATATTATTTTTAAACCAAAAAATATTTTTTGAAAATATGGTGGAAATTTTTTTTTTTTGGATAAGTTATGAAAAGATTTTTGGTAGATCTAAATTTTTTTTTTTTAGAATAGTGTTAATTTTACTTATTGATAAATAGAAATATTATGTATTAGATGATAATTTTGTTGGAGATTACTAAGTTTGAGAATATTATGTGTAAAATGAAATTGTGGTAAAAAAAAATTTGAGATTATTTTCAGCTTTTTCCTGCCAAATGAAAACAAATTTGCCTCATTTCACTTTCCGTAGCCCTAAGGTGTTTTTGGGTGAATCGAAAACTCACTTCAAGTTCAAGGCCACAGCTCATTTCTACCTTCCTCGTAGGGAATATGACTAAAATTGGAGGTCTCGTTTTCGAGGCTTTTGAAGTTAGAAAGAGATGGCCCGTCTGGCTTAAATTTCAAATAAATTGATTTTAAAACAAAAAACTTATTTATATTTAAGGAATAAGTTATTTTATCTATCATTTTTTTCTGTTTTTCTGATTATTTTTGCTTATCACTCTAAAAGACCATTAGATCAGAATTTTAATTAATATTTATCTTTCTTTCTCTTCTTTAGATTTTGTTTTAATGATATTGGAGAGTGGCCTTTGGTTTACTTCAAAATTAATTATGTTTCTGTAGTACTTTTCTTATTATATATGTTTACGTGGGGTGTAAAAGAATATGTTTTTTATTATATATGTTTCTATAATTTATTAATTTTTACAAATTACAGGAGCATTTATTATTTTTTTACATTAGACTTTAATATTTTTACAGTGAATGTAAGTTATTTAGTCTCAAAATGATGTTGTTTTGGGCTGAAAGATTAAAAAATTATAATGAAAAAAACTCTTATAATTTTGAAATAAATTATAAATACAAAAATACCTTGATTTTCTCTTCAAAATGATGTCATTTTGGGTTCAATATAGATAATTTATCTACATTGACTGTAGAAAAAATGAACCTTTATTATTTTTTACAAATTGCAGGAGTATTTGTTGTAAATAAAAAATTATAAGGGCATAGGTAATTCTGAATCAAAATTAAGAGGGCATTGGTGAAAATGGAAATATAAAATATTTTAAAGAGGTTTTAACACCAATTTAATTGGGAGTTTTTAAGGTAAAACGAAAAAAATTATAAATATGATTTTTCTCAAAATAATTTTAAAAAAAGTCATAGAAAAAGGTAAATTTTCACTTTGCAGTTGATTTTGAAAAACTACTTAAACATGTACATTATATTACAATTTATTAATGGAAAGAGTGTTTGTCTTTTTAAGTGACATAATTTGTCTTATTTTATTTTCACAAATAGGTGGGATTTACACATTTTTTTGTCTACTCTCTCTATGATTTATCTCATTCTTTTATTTAAAATGATACAATTTTACTTCTTTTAAAATGATATCTATTTTTCCCTTTATTAATTTGGGTTGTTGAAATTTATTCTTGCTGATCCAGAATAAAATGCAAACTAACACATTAAGGTGATAATACATACTTTTTTCCCTTTATTAATTTGGGTTATCGAAATTTATTCTTGTTGATTTAAAATAAAATACAAACTAACACATTAAGGCGTGTTTAGTATAGGAGAATTTTTTTTTTTTATCCGGGAATTATGATTATTGGGAATATGGTAGGAAATAAAAAATTTCGATAATATTATTAAAAAAATTATTTGGTAGGTCAAAATATTATCAAAAATATTAACTAAGTTTTCTGAGTGTGTGTTTGGTTAATAATAAAATATTGTTGGAAATATATGGAGAATTTATGAAACTACCCTCGTGATATCTAACTTTTGAAACACAAACAAAAAAGCACTCGTGCCTAGAATGACCTAAAATATTATGCTCGCGGTTCAGCAAAGAGGATAAAAAATAGGGTATATCTTGGACCGATTGGACAATTAACATTCGAAGGCGGACTTTCATGGAAAAAAAGGATACTGGCTTTCATTTTTGAGAACCTACGAATAAAAGTTCGATCTTTGAAACCTCTATAGATTAACCTATGAAACAAGGAAGACATGGAACCAAGTAGGGGTGTTAACAGGCCGAGCCGTGCCTAGCTTTAGCCTTAAAATGTTAAGCTTGTGTTTAAATGTGTGAGTCTAACCAAGCATGTTATATGTTATACATATAACTATCGGTATGTAGCCTGACTTATTTATAAAAAATAAGAGTCTGGTTTAGCCTATTAGCTTGTTTTAAAAAAAATAAGACAACAAAAATTTATCCAAAATAGAATGGGAACACCGACCAAAATGTCATTCTTCACCAAGTTTTTTACCTAAATGTCATGCGAACAGTATTATTTCCCAATATGCCACGTGGGCAAGTTCGCTGGGCACTGTAGCGAACTCTGTTTGCTGACGTGTCACGTTTCTAGTGGATAACAAGTACCAAGTAAAAAAATACCAAGTTCGCTACATTGAGTAGCGAACTTGGTTGGAATATGTATTTCAACCAAGTTCGCTACCTCGTGTAACGAACTTGTGTCCACTAAAAACGTGACACGTCAGCAAACTGAGTTCGTTACAGTGCCCAGCGAACTTGACCACGTGGCATATTAGGAAATAACATTGTTCGCGTGGCATTTAGGTAAAAAACTTGATGAACAGTGGCATTTTGGTCACTGTTCCAACAGAATATACAATCAACAACACTTGTAATCCCATAAATATTCATAAATTCAATGTATATCCAAACATTGTAATATAGAACAAAATCATTCAAAAAGTCTGTTTAACCAATAAAATGGGGTGAAATAAATTGAGGAGAGAGAGCGGGATATTACAAGTAGTATAAAAATATAAAATAAAAATTAATATACTAGGTCAGCCTAGAGACTCTAAAGTCGAGCTTTTGAGTTGGAGCTTGAGGCCTTTTTATTAAACAAGCTTTCATACAAGTTCAAGCCTAGTTCCAACAACCAATTTTAGACATGTAAGCTTA